GCACATGCCGGTGCCGGCCTCAGGCGCACGGCGCATGCTTGGCCCCGCCCCCAGTCACGTGGCCTGTGAGCGGCCCAGTCCTCATATGCGCAGCACGTGAGCGGCCCTGCCCCCAGGCGCCCGGCAGCCCCAAAACGTTGGGGACCACTGCAGTAAAGGTTCCCAGAGGAAGATGAACATCCCTTGCTATGCCTTGACTTAGGAAATGGAGTCAGAAATAATGCAATTCATTTCAATTTCAAAGGAGCTTCATATCAACCTGTCTCAGAAGAGGACTTCTTTAGGCACTTGCATAAGAAAAATCCACTCTGAAGTTACAACTCTTTCCATAATCCATTTCCTTTTTTTCTCACAGAGGGTGCGTTTCCCTCCCACTGCCATGGAAAAGGCCAAGCACAGTGTCTGATGACACCTCCCATGCATAAAACTTGCTTGGCCTTCATTGAGCTCCAGAATGGCTAACTATTTAAACACAGAACAGCCAAAATTATGACCAAGATTCTAACACAAAGGTAAGTGTTACTACTGGGATACAGGAGCTATATTCTGTATGTTATGAGAATGGCATTTAATTAGACAGTTTGCCCAAGTCCTCTGAATGATTAAATGTACATAGTAGGAGGTTTCCCCACATAACTCTCCAATTTGCACTAAACATTCTCAACAGTTCACAATCCTGCTGGAAGGGCATAACAAGTGGAGTTCCACAGGGGTATGTTTTGGGACCAGTTTTGTTCAATATCTTCATCAATGATTTAGATATTGGCCTAGAGAATATACTTATTAAGTTTGCAGATGATACCAAGCTGGGAGGAGTTGCAACTACTTTGGAGGATAGGGTCATAATTCAAAAGGATCTGGACAAACTGGAGAAATGGTTTGAGGTAATTAGGATGAAGTTTAATACAGACAAATGCAAAATACTCCACTTAGGAAAGAACAATCAGTTTCACACATACAGAATGGGAAGTGATTGTCTAGGATGCAGTACTGTAGAAAAGGATCTAGGGGTCATAATGGACCACAAGCTAAATATGAGTCAACAATGTGACACCGTTACAAAAAAAGCAAACACGACTCTGGGACGCATTAACAGGAGTGTTGTGAGCAAGACATGAGAAGTCATTCTTCCGCTCTACTCTGATCAGGCCTCAATTGGAGTATTGTGTCCAGTTCTGAGCACCACATTTCTAGAAAGATGTGGAGAAATTGGAAAAGGTCCCCAGAAGAGCAACAAGAATGATTAAAGGTCTAGAGAACATGATCTATGAAGGAAGACTGAAAGAATTGAGCTTGTTTAGTTTGGAAAGGAGAAGACTTAGAGGAGACATTAAAGCAATTTTCAGGTATCAAAAAGGATGTCACAAGGAGGAAGGAGAAAAATCCGTCTGGCCCTAGCTGCGGGCCATTAGCCCTGGTCTAGATGGACCTGGGTCCTGCTGTGAAGGCAGGGGACTTGACTTGATGACCTCTCGAGGTCCCTTCAAGTTCTAGTATTCTATGATAATTTGCATATTCAAACCAGCAGCCACTCTGCGCCTGGCATACCCTCAGAATTCATGAAGGTAATACTACATTTTTCCAGTTGTGAGCAGTCTATACAGATGAGCCCTACTAGTGAAGTCTAACTCCTCCCAATAAACTTAATTGCAGGGACATGTGTACAGAATGTTTTCCAGTCCGGTAGATATTTAATTCAATTTTGTGCTATTCTGAGCTGAATGCTCAGGACTGCTTGATGTCAACTGGGAAAGATAATTTAAGTTGGTTAATTTTAAAGTTCAGTTTCATCAGAATTAGTTACTGGCTCTAAGAGGCATCCCTGATTTTGAATGCGTGATTGATACTTGAGAGGTGAGTGGGAACACTTTATCACTAAGCAGTCAAAAAATTCGTTAAGGATTTCAGATTGCCTCCATCTTTGGTGCAGAGTCTGTGGATATGTCCAGCCTGCATAATACACATGGATGAAAAAGGATCATAGAATCAGAAGACTGGAAGGAACCCTGAGAGGATCAAGTCCCCAGTACACATGGAAGGACCAAGCACCATTTTATACCAGGTTAGACAGGTTTGTCTAACCTGCTCTCAAAAATCTCCAACCACAACCTCTAGGCAATTTATTCCAGTAGTTAACCACCTTGACAGTTGAGAAGTTTTCCCCAATATCAACCTAAATCTCCAATGCTGCTTTAAGCCCATTGCTTCTTGTAGAATGATCAGAGGTTAAGGAGAATAACTATTCTTTCCCCTGACTAACATCTTTTTAGGTACTTGAAAACTTTATGATGTACCATTTCAGTCTTCTCATTTCCAGACTAAGCAAACCCAATGTTTTCAGTCTTCCCTAGTAAGTCATGTTTTCTAGACCTTTCATCATTTTTGTTGCTCTTCTCTGGACTTTATCCAGCTCTTTCCTGACATGTGGCTTCCAGAACAGGACACAATACTCCAGGGAGGCCCAATCAGTGCGTAGTAGAGCAGAAGAGTAACTTCTTGTGTGTTGTTTACAACACTCCTGTTAATATATCCCAGAATTAAGTTTACTCTTTTTTGCAACTGTGTTACACGGTTGACTCAGACTTAACTTGTAATCCACTATGACCCCTAGATTCCTTTCCACAATACTCCTTTTTCTAGACAGACATTTCCCATTTTGAATGTGTGCAACTGACTGTTCCTTCCTAGATGGAGTACTATGCATTTCTCTTTATTTAATTTCATCCTATTACCCTCAGACCATTTCTCCAGTTTGTTTAAACCAGTGGTCCCCAACACGGTGCCTGCGGGTGCCATGGCACCCGCAGGGGCATTTGTGTAAGCCCCCCAAGTGCTCGGGGCTGGCCTGGCCCTGGGCACGTGGCGCATGAATGGTGCCTGAGCCGGCTCTGGGCGCATGGTGAGTGCTGGCCCTGGGAGTGCCGCGAATTGGCCGCCTGCA